GTTATTGTGTATATTTGTGTAATTACTATATTAGCCTTAGGTTCTCTTTAGGTAACCGTAGCCCTAATTTTGTATATATATATTCATGGTTTTATAATTTTGAATGATCCGATTGAGATGATTTTCACCCTCAAATTTTGTGTCGTCTCTTCCGTATCATTTGCTGCTGCAATTTCTCTTAAGTATACAATACAGCGCCTTCAAATCGCTTCACAGTCCTCTGTTCATCCAACTAATCTAACCGGTCGAAAAATTCTGGATGACGCATACAATACAGTTATCTCCCTGCAACAAGTCCTCGAAAATTCGGACATCAGCAAAAACCGAACCCCGAGGTTGCACGCATTGGATCGAGAAATCGGACAGGCATTGTGTGATCTAGAAGATTTGTTCGAGACCCACCTCTCGAATCATGTCCTTCTCACACAATGCCTTGAAAGTCAACCGTTTGGGTCAACGCCTCTTGACCTCAAGAGCCTAGAGCAAGGCGTTCGGTTATTCGCACGGTCCGTGAAGACGATGAAGAAGGCGTACAAGAAAGAACTAAACAGCAAGCCGCTGCTCGAAGAAGATGATTCTGTTTGTTCTGTTCTTGGGAGGCCGAAGAAGATTGTTGGATTTTCTGAAGTGCTTATCGGGATAAAAGACGAGCTTAGAGTTACGCGGCCGTGGCATAAAAGTAGAAAAGTGGTCACGATTGTTGGCATGGCTGGAATAGGGAAGACGGCAGTTGCTAAAGAACTTTATGAAGATGTATCGGGCGAATATGATTGCTGTGCGTGGGTCAATATAGGCCCGAAATACGTATACAGAGAAGTTATGCTATCTCTTCTTGCTCAGATCAATCCCGGTGGTCATGATAAAATGCTTCCGGTAGGAGATAGGAAAATAGCTTCTTTTCTATGCAGAAGTTTGAAGGGCAGAAGGTATTTAATCATTTTGGACGATGTGTGGGACGATGTTTGTAGCCAGCTGACATCATCGTTTTCGGAAGACCAAAACGGAAGTCGGGTCTTGCAGACAACTAGGCTGCATGATGTAGCTCTGTTTACTAGTAATCACGAAATACGGTTGCTGGGAAAAGAACAAAGTTGGGAGCTTCTATGCGAGAAGGTTTTTGGTGATGGAGAAGTGTCCTCCGCAGCTGGAGAAATATGGAAAAATGATAGCCGTTAATTGCGAAGGCCTTCCTCTAACGATCGTCACAGTCGGTGGCATGCTGTCCAAAGCCGAGAAGACATTGGAGTATTGGAAGAAGGTTGCCGAGAAAAAAAACTCGGTTTTCAAGGATGTGTATGATGAGATGTCGAGGATACTTTACCCGAGCTATTACTACTTACCTCAATACCTGAAAGCGTGCTTTCTATATATGGGCATCTTTCCAGAAAAAATCAAGATCCCCAGCTCCAAACTAATCAAGTTATGGAGTGCCGAGGGATTCCTACAACCCAACACATCCCAAACCGTGGAAAATCTTGCCTCGAGATGCCTGGCGGGCCTCGTTTCTAATTCTTTGGTTATAAATCCCCAGAAGAGCTCCTATAGCAGCTACTACTTCAACGAACCTGTCAGGATAAAGACTTGCGCCCTCCACTCTGCCTTCTGGCATATAAGCACGCGAGAAGCCGAGAAGGCCAAGTTTCTGCATATCTTGAGTAGTTATGGTGATGGTTTTGGGGAAGGTATAAAAGGTCAGCGCCGGTTGTCCGTTGGGAAAAACGTTTTATTCGGCATCAAAGATGTGCGCAACTCGATTGAGTCCGTTTCAACAATGCATTCTCTCCTTTGCGTGGGGCCGCCTCATATGTATCCGGTGCCGCTATTTTTCGGCCGTTTGAGGCTGCTAAGGGTGGTAGATGCTCTTACTGTTCGTTTTTACTGTTTTCCGATGGAAGTATCGAAGCTAGTCCACCTTAGGTACCTTGCACTCAATTGTGACCAGGAAATCCCAGCTGGCACCATGTCCAAACTCCGCAACCTTGAGTCCTTGATCGTCGGCCGTTCTCTATGCATTAAAAAATCAGTTGGAATCGACCCTTTACTGCCTGTGGAGATATGGGACATGAAAGAACTGAAGCATCTTCAGGTCACGGGATTCGACCTGCCCGCTCCACCATGCGACGAGTCTCTCTTACCTAACCTCCTAACACTTTCAAACGTTAGCATTCGCAGTTGTACTGAGAGGATTCTTGAAAGAATCCCGAAACTCAAGAAATTGGGAATTCAGATTGAATGGGAGCCTCATGCTACTACCGTGGGCTCGTGCTGCTTTCGATTCGAAATGTCCCATCTCCACAAGGTGGAATCGCTAAAATGTGTCGTCGTGAATCCTAACCTCGGATGTCAACTTAATCTCGGATGTCTACCTGCGGCTCGCCCTTTATTCGATTGTTACAGATCATTCTCGTCACATATCCAAAAGTTGAGCTTAACGGGTCTTGGGTTCCCCTGGCGAGAAATGAGCCAGATTGGTAGAATGGACAACTTAAAAGTGCTCAAACTGCGATGCTTCGCCTTTCGTGGTCTCAAGTGGGAGACGGGACGCGATGCATTCCCGATGCTTAATTTCCTTCTCATTGAAGATTGTGATCTGGTGGAGTGGAAGGTTGGTCACAACAGCTTCAGATACCTGCGTCGTCTGATAATAAAGCACTGCTACAAATTGTGGGAGTTCCCAGGGGAACTGTTTCGTGTGTTGCTTCATAGCATTGAAGTCGTTGACTGCAACTCTTTGTTAGTGGCATCAGTAATGGGATTACATAAGGGAAAGGAAGAGTTTTTTCAACTTCACATTTCCTCTTCTTGGAATAAAAAGGGTCCAAGTGTTCCGTAATCTCGAATACTAGTTGTTCTGGGAGCCTATTATTAAGTCTTTGTTCAACTCAGTGACTTACTTTCAGTTGTATCTGCTACAGCACTTAGCCTGAAAACAAATTACTGTTAACAAGGCACATCAGCTCCTTTAACCTTACTACACCATACATGAGCTCATGAATTTGTAGGCAGTATTTCTACTTGTAGCAAATAATTTGTAGGCAGTATTATGTCTACTGAATTGAAAACAAAGCGCATATCAATATTGCAGATGGATGAACAAAATGCAATTGGAACTCCAAAAGATATATGTTTACATGGAATTATTAACAGCTAAAAATAACTTATGATTTACTTTTGTTTTTACATTTTTTCTCCCACAAAAAGTGGACAACAAAGTTTGATGGAACTGTAAGCCTCGTGCAATCTTTTTGCATAGTCCCACAACATGCACGTTGCAGTCATCTAATTCAGAAATTTCAAGACAATGTCCCGAAACTCTCCTCGTATGAACTGAGCCTCCTCCTCGTAGACAGAACATAGAATTTTTCGTGAAGGAGGTGAATTGATACGCGATCCCAATCATTGAGCATGCTTTTTTCTGTCTGATTAAGAGAAGCCAAAGCAGCATAAGCCATCTCTCACTCTCTCTCTCTCTCTCACAGGCAGAACTAACAATTTTCAGATCACTCTCTGGCATAAGATTTTGTTGATGAAAGTTGTTACACTTATTTACACTATTTAGAGAGTAAGTCAATGGAAGTATCCTTTACTTGTGAAATGTGTGAATGATGAAATTTCTTTTGGGGCTAATGCATTTGGTTTCTGGAAGTTGTCTAATTAAACACTCTATGATTGTTGACAGTCATGTTCAGTAATGAATAAAACAAAGTTATTGGGTAGGTGACATTTTGGTTGCATCAATACAATAGAGCAATTTGATATAAATTAAATTTAATGGGTAGAAATGACAATCATTTTGGATTATGTCAATCCAAATTGTACTACAGATTAACAGAAATTGACAAATTTGTGGTAGGTAGAGTAGCTAGCTGGTGTGCTTAGTATCATAATACTATGGAGTAACTTAATCCAGATCTTCATATATCATTCATCACTCAATATGATGCAACTCATTTTGATTGTGGCACCATTATTACTAAGTAGTGAGGATCGGCGGATAGAATTCAGTTCCCGAGCCAAGCACTCGTGCCTTAGTATCCGGGAAAACCTCTACCCCAGGAAGCTCGACAACTCTACCATCGGACGAGATTCCAATCGGGTATCTAAGCAAATGTCCCGGCAAATCCTGCTCAAAAGTCTCACTTGTGTAGAGGCTCCAATTCCTTTCCGCAATTTGATTAACCTTTCGAACACACTCTAAGCTTTCGGGATAACAGAAGGCATCGTCCAGCTGGCCCACATGCTCGTACCATAATGCCATTCGAAAACCGTGAATTTGACCCCTGGCCGGCTGATTACGCTTGCAGGACAAGTGATGTGGCTGATAGGCTCCCATCGCGATTTCTGAGTCCCGAGCACCATCCATTGACCTCTGGTTGATATTTGCCGAGCCTATGATTATGTACTCGTCGTCAACTGCGCACGAGCCAACCATGGTTAATGATATTTTCGAACAAAATGTATCGATTTTAACGACAAAAAGCTTACCAATCATCATCTTGGCATGGACATAAATCATACCCCTCCTAGCCTCCTGAGCTCTATAGTAATCCGAACCGGCTACCGGTTTTCGTGGTGGCTCGTACTCTCCATTCTTCTTCGTCTCCCTATTCCCGAGGCAAAAGAACGTCAAATAATCTCGAGGATTGGCTTTTATCCCCTTCGACTTGATCGCTTTTGCTATGTCGATGTACATCATCTCCATAGTCCTCCTCTGCCAACCCAAAATTGTCTGCACAGCACCACTCTCCGGGTACCCCTCGGGCCACATAGGGATCACCACATAAACCTTAAATTCCTCGGCAGCTTCTATTTTGCTGACGATTTTCAACGAAATCTCCTTCGGAATCAGGCTTAGTGCCCTCACTTCGTGAACGTTGATATCGTTCGAGCCCCAGGAAAACGAGCTCCCCGTGAAGTATTGATTCTCGATGTAGATGAACTTGTCCGCACGCCGGATAGCGTGAATGTAGGCGTCTTGTATGCTTCGGTCGATGATGTTGTCCTTGCCGCTGATCAATCCGGACTTGGCCGCTTGCTCGGGTGACTCGGGGAAACCGAAAGCCGCGCCACCATCGATCGACCGGAACACCTTTGAACAAAAACAAGCAAGAAGATTTTGATATGTGATGATATTAATTACAGTCAAAACAACACGATTATCGGAACGAAATTCGGGTAAGAAAAATAAAAAAAAAATAAGAACACACCTGAACATTCCATGTCTCGTAGTCATCGGGGAGTGTGACAGGTGAAGGTGGGATCAAAACGTTCGACATCTCGATCAGCGGAAGCAACAACGCGTCCTTCCCGCCCTGTTTTCGCCACCTCTGCTCGAAATTATAAAGCACGTCCCAAGCAGCCGGTCCTTCAAGCCGGCAGTGGATATCGTGCCACGGCTCTCTAGGACCGCCTTTATGTATGCTCGCCCCACGAATATTCGACTGATGAAAATCATCAAAGTGGGGCCCGGCCAGCGTCCCAAATAGGGAATGCCTTTGTGTGTCGTACCTCCCGTCGCATAAATCTATGCCGCCTATGAAGCTCACGATTCTCCTCCTTGTTTCATCTACGCTCGGCAATCGAGAATCAACGGCCACGATTTTCTGGTGATGAGTGAACATAGTGTCCACTTGTAGGCCTTGAACTATACTCGAGCCGTCGTCCGGATTACGAGGGCACAATATGCAATGCACGCTCGTCCCGTGAAAATAGCTTCCCGTGTCCTCGTCGTGCGTGGCCATCACTCCGTCCTTCTTCAAGTGCTTGACCGACGTCCGGTCGTCCCACACGAGCATCAAAACCCGAACCCCCTCGTCGGCCTTCTTCTTGAGTAGCTCGCCGAGAGTAATATTATCTCCACCGGGCCGCCTTTTAGTATCGCGTATTAGCGTGATTTCCGTGTAGACTGACCATCCGGCCACGTAAATCAAATGCTTCGATTCGGATATCGCGTCGAAGATGTCCTCCCAACACCTATGCGGCTCGTAGTGCTTCCCGCCGCGTAGGGGTATTTTTGGAATAAAATTGTCGGGAACGTGCGCATCTTGATACAGAGTTGCTCTGCATCCTTTCCGTTGTGGAAAGAATGTGTAGGGAACACCCGGGAAGTTCGCGCTCTTTAGCCCGCGCGACCAACATCGTTCGCGCATGACGTCATAAAATTGTAGCTTCACGTGGAGTTTGGAGTGGCCGTGTATCGGTTTGTGGTGGTGGTCGAGGATTTCGAGCCACCTGTCGACTTCATCGCCGTGAATTAGGTCATTGGCCGGAACGTAAGCTCGTCCGATGAGGTGTGTTCCTATGGGGTTGTTGACTTTGACGGTGAACGAGAGATTGGTGGCCGTGTGAGCGCAGTAGATGTGGAAAGATTCATGCCAGCTCGGGTTTGAGTGTCGGGGCTCGATGACTCGAGTGCGAGCCACCGTGGTTTTTTCGAGGTCGATTGTTGCGTAGAGCTTGGAAGCCGACTTGTCGAAGCCTATGGCTTTTTCGATGCCTTGAGCTACCTACATTTTTGCAGGTAGTATAACCATTAGGCCAATGTACTCTTTCGACATAATATTATGTGTAGTCGTGAAAGAAAGTTTACTGAATAAAATTGTCACCTGCTCCAAGTCACTGGTATAATTTGCAATTTTCACCCCGCCCGGAAATATACAGAAAACTAAAAAGGCAGTGATTTTTTTTTTTTTTTTTTTTTTAAAAAAAAGGTACCTTATGGAAAAATTTGGCATGAAGTCCGTGATGAAGCTGATCAATATCATATATTGTTGCATGCAGATCTCCATGGAGTAACACCATCTTAATTATTCTTTTTTCACCTTAATTAATAATTCCTCTCTATATATAATAATATATATATGTGAAGCAATAGGATGCAACACATTCAATATATATGCAGCTTATTGGTACTATTAATCCCTTAAACATGTGAATGCGTGTGTGTATATATAGAGAGAGATAAGTGTGTTAATTAATTATAATAATATTATGCTAAATGATGATAAAGATTAATAAGTACACCCAAGGTTGGCTGATTCAAAACAAGACCAATTGATATATTATAACTTAATTTGAAAAGTTTTAAGTATCACAAAATTAATTAAAATCACCCATTTGTACTACAGCTGACATTCATCAATATATAACTGATCAACTTTAATTTGTGATTAATTAATTAGTTATAACCTATTATAATGTTTCTGGATGGTTTAATTTTGTAATAGTCAAATGTCATAATAAGTACAATATGATATAAGTACTATTTACTTTTTGAATAACTGATAGTTTTGGAATATTATTATACATATATATAACATAATTAGCCGCCCATGTTGGAGGGTTGTACCTAAGTGAAAATCATTTTTAACGCCACATGCAGCAATTGTTTAACAATAAATCGAAAATTGAAGGGGTTGAAATGTGATTTTGGTAGAGTAGTAGGTATGGGCTGAATAATTATTATTTCTGTCAAGAAATTCACACGCAAAAGATTCATGAGGTACGTACGTATACAAAACGAAGCAATATTTAGTTCGCAAATGTTGATTAAGGAAACCAAATTTTTAATATTTTATCACATTTTGCACCGGTTTTGCTATGAAGTCAATAGTTGACTTTAACCTTCTATCAAGTAAACCTACCATATTCTATAATTACTTAAATAACATTAATATAAATTTATATTAATATGATATGTTTATTTATTGTGTAAGAAACTGGGGGATAAGGAAAGCCCATATGAAGCCCAAATGAGGTTCCATCCCAAAACCAATTGGTGGAAGGAGGAGTAGCCCATTAGTCTTATAAGGTGGGTCTATTTTCCATGTATGAACAATGTGGGACAACTCACAAGTGATATTCTAACATATTGTATATAGAAAGTTAGCTCCACTATGAAATTAACTGTTGAGAAGAATTAACTGTTGACTTCACAATAAAACCGCGCACAGTTAAATAATATATCTTCCTTGAGAAAGAAGCAACTTGATTCGGGCTTGT